CATTGGGCTTTTTGTCTTCTATTGAGCTGTACACGGGCTTCATGCAAGTCCTTCGTCAGATACATTCATTGCCTTTTCATTTTCTGAGGAAAATGAAAGCTGTTAAGACCATTGTTTTAAATTAGGACAACTTTGATTGATCAGTTTTCCTTTCATGGTTCGTATCTTCTGTATCCTAAGAAAACTTTGCTGACCTCAATATAGTAAAGACGGTCTCTTCTGTTTTCTTCTAGAAGTTTTATAGTTTTAGGTTTTTCATTTACCTCTATGATTCATTTCAAATTCATTTTCATGAGTGATGGGATGGAAGGGTCCAGGTTTATTGGTTTCCCAATAAATAACAAGCTGTTCCAGGACCATTTGGTGACTTTGCTTTCTATTAGAACAACTGGGCTGCTTTTACAGGAATTTGGCTGGGCATGACGGCTCACACCTGTAATCCCAGCACTTCGGGAGGCCACGGTGGGTGGATAACTTGAGGTTAGGAGTTCAAGAAAGATCAGCCTGGGCAACATGGTGAAACCCCATCTCTACTAAAAGTACAAAAAAAAAAATTAGCCAGACATGATGGCGCATGCCTGTAATCCAAGCTACTTGGGAGGCTGAGGCACAAGAAATGCGGAACCTAGGAGGCAGAGGTTGCAGTGAACTGAGATTGTGCCACTGCATTCCATCGTGAGCAGCAGAATGAGACACTGTCTCAAAACAAAACAAACAAACAAAACAGAATTAATTGGCCCCGTAAAGTGTGGACCCGTTCTGGACTTTGTTTTCTGTGTACTGATTTGTGTTTCTGCCACACTGTCTTGATTCCATTGGTCAGAGAAGAGACCTAGTATGATTGAAACGATTTTAAATTTGTTGAGACAGGTTTCTGAGCCAGCCTGGGGTCTGTCTCAGTGATTGTCCCCTGTGCACCTGAGAGTAGCACGCACCGGCTGCTGTCGGGAGTTTCTCCGAGTGCCAATTTGGTCTCGTTGGTTGATGGGCACTTCAAGTGTTCTGTGTCTTCCCCTATTCTACTTTGTAAGGCTATCATTTCCTGAGAGTGTTAAAATCTCCTATTGTATAATAATTGTGGTTTATTTTTCCTTTCAGTTTTGCCAGTTTTTACTTCAGTGTTTTAAAAAAGAAATCTAGATATTTTTTGTTTGTTTGGTGTTTGAGACAGCATCTTGCTCTGTCACCCAGGCTGGAGTGCAGTGACATGATCTTGGCCCACTGCAGCCTCAACCTCCTGGCTCAAGCAATCCTCCCACCACGGCCTCCTGAGTAGCTGGGACAACAGATGTGCACCACCATGCATGGCTAATTTTTAAATATTTTCTAGAGATGAGGTCTCACTGTGTTGCCCAGGCTGGTCTAAAACTCCTGGCCTCAAGTGATCCTCCTGCTCCAGTCTCCTAAAGTGTTGGGATTATAGGCACGAGGCACTGCACCCAAGGCTGGCTTGGCGGGTGGAGGAAACGGAGGTTGTGGCTCTCCTGGGAGGTCATGGAGGCCAGGGATCTGGACCTGGCCACCTAAGCAGTAGCTTAGTATTCCAGCTGAGTTCCACTATTATTTATTTAGTTCCACTATTTAGTATTCCATATTTAGTTCCACAGGCCAGGGGTCTGGGCCTGGCCATCATTAGTATTCCAGTTTAGTTCCACTATTGGCTTATCACCTATACACCTTTCTGCTTTTTTAATGGTTGCTTTATGATTTATACTTTGAATATTTAACTAATTACAGTGTACCTTCAAGTAAGACTGTCCTACTTCAGGTGTCTTTACAACAGCTGCTTCTGCGCTCCATCCCCACCCTGTTATGTGGGTTACTTCTGCATTTGTAAATGTCTAAAATACATTTTATTTCATGTATTATTATTTTTTTTGGCCACAGAGTCTTGCTCTGTTGCTGAGGCTGGAGTGCAGTGGAATGATCTCAGCTCACTACAACCTCTGCCTCCTGGATTCAAGTGATTCTCCTGCCTCAGCTTCTTGAGTAGCTGGGACTACAGGTGTTCACCACCATGCCTGGCTAATTTTTGTATTTTTAGTAGAGACAGAGTTTCACCATGTTGGCCAGGCTGCTCTTGAACTTCTGGCCTCAAGTGATCTGCCCGCCTCAGCCTCCCAAAGTGCTGGGATTACAGGTGTGAGCCACCATGCCTGACTTAATTTTTGTTTTATATAGTTAATTACCTTTTCTTTTACAGTTTCATTAAGGTATAATTTATAAACCATAAAACCTGCCCATTGTAAATGAACAATTCAATCATTTTGCTAACCTTATAGAGTTGTGCAAACATCACCACAATCTAGCTCTGGAGCACTTTCATCACCTCCCAAATTTTCTCAACCCCATTTACAATAAATCTCCCCTTCCACTCATAGCCCCAAGCAATGCCAGCTTAATTCTGGTAAATATAGAAACTTTGATCCAAGATACAGCTGTCTCTTAGCATCCATGGGGGACTGCTTCCAGGACCCCCCTTGCATCCAAAATTCATGGGCGCTCAAGTGCCTTCTATAAAACGATGTAGTATTTGCAAATAACCTACATGTACCCTCCCCTATACTTTAAATCATCTCTAGATTACTTGTAATACCTAATACAGTTTCAATGCTTTGGAAATAGTTGGCATACTATATTATTTAGGGAAAAATGACAATTAAAAAAGTCTGTACTTGTTCAGTACAGATGCAATTTGGGAGAATATTTTTGACCCAGGTTTCATTGAACTCAGGATACAGAGCCCACAGATATGAAGGGCTAGCTGTATGCCCTCTCCTCCCACTCCGTTTTACTAGTATGGTCACATGTATATGTGTTATAATTCCAACAATATGGTGTTAGAATTGTTGCCTTGTGTAAGTGGTTCACAGACTATTTCCTGTCTTCCAAATCCAGCCTCCTTTATGCTTTATAAGTTCCGTTGAAACAGTTATGCTCATTCATTTACATATTGTCTATCATCTATAGCTCCTTCTGTACTATAGCTGCAGAGCTATAACAGAGATCATGTGATCTGTTAAGCTTAAAGTATTTACTACATGGTCTTTTGCAAGAAAAGTTTGTCAATCCTTGCTTTGTACAATCCTATTTTTTTTTTTTTCTTTTGAGACAGAGTTTTCACTCTGGCTGCCCAGGCTGGAATGCAGTGGCACAATCTTGGCTCATTACAACCTCCACCTCCTGGGTTGAAGCGATTCTCCTGCCTCAGCCCCCCAAGTAGCTGGGATTACAGGCACCCGCCACCACGCCCGGCTGATTTTTTGTATTTAGTAGACAGGGTTTCACCATGTTAGGCAGGCTGGTCTCAAACTCCCGACCTCAGGTGATCCACCCACCTCGGCCTCCCAAACTGTTGGGATTACAGGTGTGAGCCACTGTTCCTGGCCACAATCCTATGTCTTTAAAATAAGTTAAGAAATAAAATGAGGACAATATATATTCATAGAGTCTTTTATATTTACCTACATATTTGCCATTTTCGGCATTCTTCATTTCTTATGTGCATGGAGTTAGTGTCTAGTATCAGTTCCTTTAAGTCTAAAGAACTTCTTTAGTATTTCCTGTAAGGCAGATTTGCTAGCAATGACATTTCCAAGTCTTCTTTGTTCATTTGGGAGTGCCTTAATTTTGCTTTTTTTAATTTAAATTTTTACTTTTCTGAGACAGAGTCTTGCTCTGCCTGGCTGGAGTGAAGTGGTGCAATCACAGCTCGCTGTAGCCTCAACCTCTCAGGCTTAAGCTATCTTCCTGTCAGCCTCCTGAGCAGCTGGGACTATGGGCATGCACCACCATGCCCCACTAATTAAAAAAAGAATTGGTAGAGATCTTACTATATTGCTCAGGCTGGTCTTGAATTTCTGGGCTCAAGCAATCCTCCCACCTCAGTCTCCCAGAGTGCTGGGATTACAGGCATAAGCCATCATGCCCAGACTATTTTGCCTTTGAGATAGGTTGCGTGATATCAAACTCTTCATTGACAACACTTTCTTTCAGCCCTTTGAATATATTGTTCCACTTTATTCTAGCATCTGTGGTTTTGAAGTGATTCAGGTGTTAGTCATATTTTTGTGCCCTTATTATGTCATGGGTCCCTTTCTCTTAGGCATTTTGACTATGATGTGTCTGGGTGTGGATCTCTGTTTTTCTCCTGCTTAGGTTTGGTCGAGCTTTTGGATTCTGTAGATTGTTTTCAGCCATCACCTCGGCTCTCTCTTCTGCCTCTTTATCTATGGCTAATGCTCCACAGATCTCTGAGGCTGTTTGATTTTCTTCATTCAACCTTCCCCCGACCCCCGTTTTTCAAATTGGTTAATTTATATTAATCTATAAGCTGATAATTCTTCTAGTATCTCAATTCTGTTGGTGAACCCCAGCAGTAAATTTTCAACTCCAGGATTTTTGCTTGCCTTTTAAAAAATAAGTTCTATTTCTTTATGGGATTCTCTCTTCACTGAGCCATTGTTAACATATTTTCCATTAATTTTTTAAACATGATTTTGTGTGTGTGTTTTGAACAAATTTTTAATAGTTCCTTTGAAGTCTGTATTAAACCCAAAACTGGTGGACCTTTAGAGACACTTTCCATTCACTGGTTTGCTTCTCAGCATGGATCATACATTCTTGTTTCTTTGTGTGATTTGAAATTTTTTGCTGGCTGCTGTACATTTTAGACAACATATTCTAGGAACTCTGGATTCTGATCCTCCCAGGGTGTGGTTATACAATAACAGACACCTCGTGTTTGTTTAGTAACTTTCTTGGACTAAATCTGTTCCAACTTGGAATAAGTCCAGTCTCAATTCACTGCTACCTCACCTGATGCCACAGCCTCTCCAGCCCAGTGGCTATAGATCTTCCCCGGGCCCCTCAATTTGCTCTCGGATCCAGTGTGCAGGACAGGACTATGCCACCTTCACAGTGCACGTATACTCCCTCCCCCAGGCCCCCATCTGCTCCCCTAGCCTGCTTGTCTCCACTGACAGCCACTCTCTCTTCAGTGTCCGGCCGACAGCTGCAGCCTGGGGAGCCAGATGCAGAAACAGAAGATGACCACTCTGTAAGTGAGAGCAGGAGGAAGTGTGTCCTCCTCATACCCCACCTCCATTCTCCCTGGGCCCTGGGAGAACCAAGTGGCAGAGGTAACTGGATTCTCTCCCATCAGGTGACTGAAGGGCCTGCGGATGAGGTCATTCGACCACGGCCACAGGGGTCTTCACCTGTCTACGAATACTCGACTGAGGCTGCTGACTTTGGACTCCAGGTGAGCCTACTGGGCAGAGCCCCACAGGCACCCAGGTCTCCTCCTGCATTGTCCTGTGTGGGCAACTCACACATGTCTATGCAGCTCTGCTGTCCTGACCTGCTGCCCACTGCGTCACACCTGTGCCTACTCAGATGTCCTCTCAGACTCCTCTGTGCCCTGGGGGTCCCTCCCTGCCAGGACACAGTGGGATGGAGGTGCCCTGCAGTTCTTGTGAGCATGCGTGTGGGCTGATGGGGAACAGACTTCATGAATCTGTTTCGGGGCACAGGGTGTGTGTAACACACTCATGCTGTCTTTTGGGTAGCCCCATGGCTACCTCTGGAGATGAGGACTCGGGGAAGGGATCAGAGGAGGCAGGTCTAGGAAAGGATTCATTTTTGTATTTGAATTTCTTATCTCCCTCCATATAAAACTCCAGTTGCTATGGGGCTTCTTCCTGTGGGAGCTGTGGGCTGTAGGCTGGGCCCTAACAGGAAGCAGGAAGGCTAACAGTTGCCTTTTCTCTGTGGATGTGCCTGGAGGCACTCGGCTCCCTCTGAACACAGCTGCATGTTGGAGGTTCTGGGCCTCTTTGAAGGGAGGGCTCCTGGTCTGGTGCCAGCCCACCTGTGCCCCTCCCTGTCCCTGAGCTGGGGCTGGTGCCTAACTCCCAACACTTGTGGCTGCAGGAAGACGCCCCCGGCAGGCAAGGTTCCTCTGGGAGACGGAGATCGTGGTGGAAGCGGGATTCAGGGGACTCACGGACATTTTTCAGGATGAGTCGTCCAGAGGTGGGTATAGCAGGAGCTGAGGGTCACAGAGGTGTGTCTGTCCACAAGGGATCCAGCCAGGCAGTCTTGAGTTCAGAGCAGGCAGGGGAGGAGGAAGGAGGCTGGCAGTGTGCCCTGTACCTTGGGGAGGGGTGTTCTTGTCCCCCTCGTCAGGCCTGGGGAAGGGCAGGGTCTCCAGAAGGCTGAATCTTGTCCTGACCCTCCCCTCCACCCCTTCCTGGTGTGGAGTTTGATGCACAGCCAAGTTCCTGGCCAGGTAGACCTGGCTGTGCAGACCTCAGTTTTCTCCTCTGTACAATGATGTCTGTTGCATATTCAAGCTATGGGGCTGGAAGGGGCCAGGCAGCTCCCAGGCCATGTAGCCATATGCCAGACTCTGCTAGCACCCAATGATGAGGGCACTCTGCCTCTAAAGCAATGGGTTTTATCCTTGGAGGCCCCAGAAGTCCAAGAGCTCTGCAGGACACAGGCCCCATCCTGTCCCAGGTCCAGCAGGCTGCACCCAATGTCCTGTGTTTTCCTTGGCATTGCTGTTCTTCCTTGGCTTGAGCACCAGTGCCTTGCACACAATCGGTGCTTTGTGTGTTTGTGATGAATGCATGAAGAAGCTGAAAAAGGAAAACTTTGGCCACAGAAAAAGCAGGAGCCATTCCTCCCTGCTCCTGGTGCCTTGCTGGGCCTGGTGGCATGGACAGGCTGTGCCTAAGTCCTGGCAGTTTGGGGTGGGGACAAGAATCCTGGTAGGCTGTGGCTGGCCTCCTCCAGAGCTCAGACACAGCTACCGGAGCCCACCTGGGGGGTGCCCCACCCTGCTCTGTGTTGTCCAGGCTGATGGGCAGGATGGTGGGGTACCTGTCCTTGGGAGACACAGGCCCCATCAGGGATGCCTATGGTGGGACTGGCATATGCTCACCATGGCCATGATGTGCTTCTGTTCCAGTCTGTGCAGGAGGCAACAGAGGTGATACTGAAGACAGAGGTGGAGACGGGAGCCAGTGGCTACAGTGTCACAGGCGGTGGGGACCAGGGGATCTTTGTCAAGCAAGTACTAAAGGACTCCTCAGCCGCCAAGCTTTTCAACTTGAGAGAAGGTGCTATGGCACTTCCATCTTTGGGGTCCCTATTCTCCCCACCAGGATGGGAGGGACCTGGAGGGGGACATTAAGGGGATAGGAGCCACACCTGCAGCTTAGGATGACCCCCTCATGTCTCTGCTCAGCCACTTGAGGCTGGGATCACCCACTGCATCTGGTAAAAGAGAGGACCCCATGTACCTTCCCTGTGCCTGCAGCACTCAGTGGGGAACTGATGGGGGAGACTCAGTGGGATCTCCCCTATTCATGCCCCTGGGGCCCTTCTCCCCGGCCAAAGCAAGACAGCGGACCCCATCTCATTCACACACCCGGCCTGGGGCTGCTCTTTCTTGGTCTAGGAGATCAGCTGCTCAGTGCAACCGTGTTCTTCGACAATATAAAATATGAAGATGCTCTCAAGATCCTACAGTACTCAGAGCCATACAGGGTTCAGTTCAAAATCAGACGGCAGCTCCCTGCCCCACAGGATGAAGAGTGGGCTTCCAGCGATGCCCAGCATGGCCCACAGGGCAAGGAGAAGGAGGTGAGGCCACCATGCCCATGAGGTAGGGCCCCAACTGTCTTTACTACCCTGCTGGCTGAGCCTGGGAGGGGATAGCACTCCCACCCCATCTGTCCCTGGGCCAGGGCCTCCAGCTTCTTGGACTGTCACCAACAGATTCCCTCTCCCTGTGTTTCAGGACATGGATGTTGCTGATGGGTGCAGAGAGACCCCTACGAAAATTCTGGAAACAGATGGGGACCAAGAGAGACTCATCTCTAAACCTAGGGTGGGGAGAGGCAGGCGGCCCCAGAGGGAGAGGCTCTCTTGGCCAAAATTTCAGTCCATAAAGAGCAAGCGGGGGCCGGGGCCCCAGAGGTCACACAGCTCCTCAGAGGCCTACGAGCACAGGGACACACATGATGTGTCCCCCACAAGCACAGACACAGAGGCCCAGCTCGTGGTGGAGCACCAAGAGCAGAAGGCAGGGCCAGGCAGCCAGAGGAGGCGGAAGTTTCTCAACCTGAGATTCAGGACAGGCTCTGGAGAGGGCCCTTCAGTGACAGGACAGTCAGGCAGGGAGTCCCAGAGTGGGGTGGGCCATGCTGGGATCCTGGAAGAGTTGGGACCCTGGGGTGATAGCCTTGAGGATGCTGGGGCTGTCACAGGCAGCAGGAGAGAGGAGAGAGCAGAACAGGATCGAGAAGTGACGCCTGTGGAGTGGCCCACAGAGCTCGGTGACCCTACCATTTGCAAGGAAACCCCTGAGGAAGGGGCACCCAGGGCAGCCAGGCGCCACAGAAAGACCCTGGAGGGGCAGGCACAAGTGGCAGCAGTGACCCAGAGGAAGCCCAGAACCCAGCAAGCTCCTGAAATAAGTGAGGAGGGTGAAGGTGAGGGTCTGCAGAGCCTGGAGATTGGGATTGCCAGAATGTCCTTGAGAGACAAAACTCAAGGAGACACCCAGAGTGGCCCACCTGAAATTAGGGTGCGAATACACGATTTAAAGACGCCAAAATTTGCATTTTCCACAGAAAAAGAGCCAGAAAGAGAAAGACAGCTTAGTGCAGCACAGAGAGGAAAGAGACAGGACTTGCCCTCAAAAGAGGGTACCGGCCCGAAGGGTGAGGAGGTGCAAGGAGCAGGGTGGGTGCCAGGGAGGGAACCCCCCACACATATAGAAGCACAACAGGGTGCAGGAGACAGACAGGAAGGACTACAGAGGACAGGAATCACTCAGGGACAGGAGAAAGATGGGGAAGACACAGAAGGAAAGATGAGAATGCCCAAATTCAAGATACCCTCTTTTGGATGGTCGCCAAGTAAGGAAACAAAGACAGGGAGAGAAAAAACCACACAGGACCTAGAGCAGGGAAGAACAGGAGACGGAATAGCCACAGATGCCAGAAAAGAATTGACAGGCACAGAGGCAGGCCTCAAAGAAAAAGACGACGGGGACTCACTGATGAACAAAACAAAAATACAACAACTAAAACATGACCAACAACGCTTAAAAACGGAAAAAATTCTGAAAGACAAGGACGTGGCTGCCGCCAAAGACAGTAAGTTCAAGATGCCCAGGTTCAAGATGCCGTCGTTCGGGGTGTCGGCCCCAGGCAAGTCCATCGAGGCCTCAGTGGACATGTCTGTGCCGAAGGTGGAGGCTGAGGTGGGCCTCCCCTCCATGCAGGGCGACCTCAAGACCGCTGACCTCAGCATTCAGCCTCCTTCTGCTGACCAGGAGGTCCAGGCTGGCCAGGTGGATGTGAAGCTCCCGGAGAGCCACGTGTCTGAGGGAGCCGACCTCAAAGGGCACCTGCCCAAGGTGCAGATGCCCAGCTTGAAGATGCCAAAAGTGGACCTCAAGGGCCCCCAGGGGGACATCAAGTGCCCCAAGCTGGACCTAAAAAGCCCCAAGGTGGAGGTGACTGCCCCCGACATGGAAGTGTCTCTGCCCAGCGTGGAGGTGGATGTCCAGGCCATGAGAGCCAAGCTGGACGGTGCGCAGCTAGAGGGGGACCTGTCCCTGGCTGACAAGGACATAGCCACCACCAAAGACAGCAAGTTCAAGATGCCCAAGTTCAAGATGCCATCATTTGGGGTGTCAGCCCCAGACAAGTCCATCGAGACCTCGGTGGATGTGTCTGCACCAAAGATGGAGGCTGAGGTGAGCCTCCCCTCCATGCAGGGGGACCTCAAGACCACAGACCTCAGCATTCAGCCCCCTTGCACCACCCTGGAGGTCCAGACTGGCCAGGTGGACCTGAAGGTCCCGGAGGGCCATGTCTCTGAGGGAGCCGGCCTCAAAGGGGACGTGCCCAAGGTGCAGATGCCCAGCTTCAAGATGCCCAAAGTGGACCTCGAGGGCCCCCAGGTGGATGTCAAGGGCCCCAAGCTGGACCTAAAAGGCACTAAGGCAGAAGTGACGGCCCCCACGGCCCCCGACGTGGTGGTGTCTCTGCCCAGCGTGGAGGTGAATGTCCAGGCCATGGGAGCCAAGGTAGACAGCGCGCGGCTGGAGGGTGACCTGTCCCTGGCTGACAAGGATGTGGCCATGGCCAAAGACAGCAAGTTCAAGATGCCCAAGTTCAAGATGCCATCATTCGGGGTGTCAGCCCCAGGCAAGTCCATCGAGGCCTCACTGGACGTGTCTGCGCCAAAGGTGGAGGCCAAGGTGGGCCTCCCCTCCATGCAGGGCGACCTGAAGACCACTGACCTCAGCATTCAGTCTCCTTCTGCTGACCTGGAGGTCCAGGCTGGCCAGGTGGAAGTGAAGCTCCCAGAGGGCCATGTGCCCGAGGGAGCCGGCCTCAAAGGGCACATGCCAAAGGTGCAGATGCCCAGCTTCAAGATGCCCAAAGTGGACCTCAAGGGCCCCCAGGTGGACATCAAGGGCCCCAAGCTGGACCTGAAAGGCCCCAAGGCGGAGGTGATGGTGCCCGACATGGAAGTGTCTGTGCCCGGGATGGAGATGAACGTCCAGGCCCCGGGAGCCAAGCTTGATGGTGCACGTCTGGAGGGGGACCTGTCCCTGGCTGACAAGGACATAGCCACTGCCAAAGATAGCAAGTTCAAGATGCCCAAGTTCAAGATGCCATCATTCGGGGTGGCTGCCCCAGGGAAGTCCATCGGGGCATCAGTGGATGTGTCCGTGCTGAAGATGGAGGCCGAGGTTAGCCTCCCCTCCATGCAAGGGGACCTCAAGACCACTGACCTCAGCATTCAGGCTCCTTCCACCGACGTGGAGGTCCAGGCTGGCAAGGTGGACTTGAAGCTAGCAGAGGGCCACGTGCCCGAGGGAGCCGGCCTCAAAGGGCACCTGCCAAAGGTGCAGATGCCCAGCTTCAAGATGCCCAAAGTGGACCTCAAGGGCCCGCAGATGGATGTCAAGGGCCCCAAGCTGGACCTGAAAGGCCCCAAGGCAGAGGTGATGGCCCCCGACATAGAGGCGTCTCTGCCCAGTGTGGATGTGGACATTCAGACCCCGGGAGCCAAGCTGGATGGTGTGCAGCTGGAGGGGGTTGTATCCCTGGCTGACAAGGACGTGGCCATCGCCAAAGACAGCAAGTTCAAGATGCCCAAATTCAAGATGCCATCATTCGGGGTGTCAGCCCCAGGCAAGTCCATCGAGGCCTCGGTGGACGTGTCTGCACCAAAGGTGGAGGCTGAGGTAAGCCTCCCCTCCATGCAGGGGGACCTCAAGACCACGGACCTCAGCATTCAGTCCCCTACCACCGACCTGGAGGTCCAGGCTGGCAAGGTGAACATGAACCTCCCAGAGGGCCATGTGCCCAAGGGAGCCAGCCTCAAAGGGCACCTGCCCAAGGTGCAGATGCCCAGCCTGAAGACGCCCAAAGTGGAACTAAAGGGCCCCCAGGTGGACATCAAGGGCCCCAAGCTGGACCTGAAAGGCTCCAAGGTGGGGGTGATGGCACCTGACATGGAGGTGTCTGTGTCCAGCATGAAGGTGGACGTTCAGGGCCCGGAAGCCAAGCTGGATGGCATGCAACTGGAGGGGGACCTGTCCCTGGCTGACAAGGATGTGGCCACCACCAAAGACAGCAAGTTCAAGATGCCCAAGTTCAAGATGCCATCATTCGGAGTGTCGGCCCCAGGCAAGTCCATCGAGGCCTCAGTGGATGTGTCTGCACCAAAGGTGGAGGCTGAGGTGAGCCTCCCCTGCATGCCAGGGGACCTGAAGACCACTGACCTCAGCATTCAGCCTCCTTCCGCCAACCTGGAGGTCCAGGCTGGCCAGGTGGACATGAAGCTCCCAGAGGCCCACGTGCCCGAGGGAGCCAGCCTCAAAGGGCACCTTCCCAAGGTGCAGATGCCCAGCTTCAAGATGCCCAAAGTGGACCTCAAGGGCCCCCAGGTGGACATCAAGGGCCCCAAACTGGACCTGAAAGACCCCAAGGCGGAGGTGACAGTTCCCGACGTGGAGGTGTCTCTGCCCAGTGTGGAGGTGGACATCCAGGCCCCGGGAGTCAAGCTGGATGGTGCGCAGCTGGAGGGGGACCTGTCCTTGGCTGACAATGACATGGCTGCCACCAAAGACAGCAAGTTAAAGATGCCCAAGCTCAAGATGCCATCATTCGGAGCGTCGGTCCCAGGCAAGTCCATCGAGGCCTCAGTGGACGTGTCTGCACCGAAGGTGGAGTCCGAGGTGAGCCTCCCTTCCATACAGGGGGAAATCAAGACCACTGACCTCAGCATTCAGCCCCCTATCGCTGACCTGGAGGTCCAGGCTGGCCAGGTGGACATGAAGGTCCCAGAGGACCACATGCCCGAGGGAGCTGGCCTCAAAGGACACCTGCCCAAGGTGCAGATGCCCAGCTTCAAGGTGCCCAAAGTGGACCTCAAGGGCCCCCAAGTGGACGTCAAGGGCCCCAAGCTGGACCTGAAAGGCCCCAAGGGGGAAGTGATGGTCCCCATAGCCCCCTATGTAGAGGTGTCTCTGCCCAGCATGGAGGTGAATGTCCAGGCCGTGGGAGACAAGGTAGACAGCACGCGGCTGGAGGGGGACCTGTCCCTGGCTGACAAGGACGTAGCCGCTGCCAAAGACAGCAAGTTCAAGATGCCCAAGTTCAAGATGCCCAAAGTGGACTTCAAGGGCCCTCAGGTGGACATCAAGGGCCCCAAGCTGGATCTGAAAGGCCTCAAGGTGGAGGTGATGGCCCCTGATGAAGAGGTGTCTGTGCCCAGTATGGAGGTGGACGTTCAGGCCCCGGGAGCCAAGCTGGACGGTGCGCGGAGGGAGGGGGACCTGTCCCTGGCCAACAAAGACGTAGCCACTGCCAAAGACAGCAAGTTGAAGATGCCCAAATTCAAGATGCCATCATTCGGAATGTCGGCCCCAGGGAAGTCCTTCGAGGCCTCGGTGGACGTGTCTGTGCCGAAAGTGAAGGCCGAGGTGAGCCTCCCTTCCATGCAGGGGGACCTTAAGACCACTGAACTCAGCATTCAGCCCCCTACTGCTGACCTGGAGGTCCAGGCTGGCCAGGTGGATGTGAAGCTCCCAGAGGGCCACGTGCCTGAGGGAGCCAAACTCAAAGGGCACCTGCCCAAGGCGCAGATGCCCAGCTTCAAGGTACCCAAAGTGGACCTCAAGGGTCCCCAGGTGGACGTCAAGGGCCCCAAGCTGGACCTGAAAAGCCCCAAGGTGGAAGTGGCGGTCCCCACTGCCCCTGATGTGGAGGTGCCTCTGCCCAGCATGGAGGTGAAGATCCAGGCACTGGGAGACAAGGTAGATAGCATGCGTCTGGAGGGGGACTTGTCTCTAGCTGACAAGGATGTG